TATAACTATTACATGGTATATTTTATTTACTATAGTAATGCCCTCATTGCGATCAATTACAATGCCTTATTCTTTGCAAATGCCTGCGTAAGGGCCCAAATCCCTTTGCATTACTGGCTTAGGAACTTTTACGGCGGTGAATATTTAACACTGCTTTTGCTGATGGTGCGGGAGGGAGACGCTTGCTGAGCAGTTCATGTTGTGAGATGGAAGCTGGCGCTTAACTCGGAGCGGGATTTCAGGATAGCTGTCACCATGGCTTGATGTCCTGCTGCTGGTAAGATGGCAGTGCAGTTTTGCTGCTCTTCTGGCATGGGATTTTGTGTGTTATATGGACGGGAAGTAGATGCATGTACTGTTGCGATGGGCCAGGTTCCTGGACTGTGAAACGGATGTCCATGATAGCAGAAAACCCCAGAACTGATGTTAATGGAGTTCAACAGACGTCAGCAGCCTAAAAAACCCTATGGAGCTGGTGATGGCAACCTCCTTTACAGCAGCTTTAGTATTTGCACATCTTGCATTTCCTCGTGTCTGGAGCAGATCTGCTTCGTGCAGGGGGACATACAGGACTAGAGTAGCCCTCTGCATGGGGTATTGGGCTGGTTTGGAGTTGGGAATAAGGAGAAGAGGCAGAGACATCTGGAGAAGTATTATTTCAGGTCACATTATTTTGTTACGAAATAACAACAAAGCAAGAGGAATGCGATTGGCCAAGAAAAGCTTCAAGCTGTGCGAGCGTTTCACTGAATAATGCAGGCCGGGGCTTGCCTGGGTTATATAATAATGGAGGAGGAAGGAGTTTAAGCGTGGCATGGAAAAATCATCCCTGCTTTTCAGATGGCTAAAGATATCTGGCTTTAGTCAAAGTGAATCCAAGTGAATCCAAAATATTCAAATGTCCTGCTGTATCAGGACATCTTGTCAAATCATGCCCTTAATGAGCGGTGCAGAAACAAGCACAAAAAACTCCTGCGTTATTTTTGATCTTGCAGTGTGTCTCCCATTTAGTAGTATCTGGAGCATAACGTTGTGCTGCCTTCTAAATAAAAATAAGAAGTTTCTGTAGACCGGGATGTAGCTGACCTTCAGAAGTCAGCAGTAATGAAAATAAGGTTGGGTGTAAAAGGTCTTCACAAGCTCAGGGGGAGATCAACATGAGAAATAAGGAGGTAATATGATTTAAAGTGGGATTCAGTTTAAATTAAAAAAGCGAATCTCCCTGATTTTGACCTACCATTTCCTATCGTGTATGTATCATCCTGTAAAGATCCTAATCAGTTTATAAAATATTGCAGCTAAATGGTAACATTTGCTTACTAAACATTTGCTGGCCGGCTTTCTCGTAGTCCATCCTTTGTTTAAAATGCTTTTGCTTGGGAATAGCAGAGACTGTGCAGAAAAATGAATGTTTGGAGTAAGCACCTGAGGCAAAACAGTTAATTAGAAATGGAAAGGCGAGGGTGCCGAGGGGGCAGATGCCCTGGTGCAGGGCAGGTTGTAGGGTGAGGGATGACTTTGGCTTTGGGTGACACGTCGCCTGTGGGGAGGAGGAACCAGCCCGGCCGTGCATCGGCGGAGGCTGTGTTTCCCAACCGGGCCGCGCTGTCTGCCAGTACGGGAGGAAGAGCCGGGGAGGAGGAAGGGTTGGAGAGCAAGAGAAACATGCCGAGCAGCCATGCCAAGAGCCCACAGACATTTCAGCTGCTTGATTATAGAGGTGCTTTGATCTACAGTGAATAAACCGATAATGCTTAAATTATGAATTCCTTTTCTTTGTCTGAAAAGCTGGATTAGCGTGGCTTTATTCGAGCAGTGATTATCGAGCAACTTCTTGTTCTGAAAGGGCCGCTCGATCTATGTTTACAGCTGGGTGCTGTGGTCATGCTGTGCTGGTGGAGAGGCTCGGTGACATAACAGCTCTCGTGCGTCCTCGTCTCCTCTGCTTCTGGTTGAACTGTAAACCCCTCCGAAAATACGGCCTCGGCTGCCTTCATTACAGTTGGAGCTAATGATTAATCGGCATGAGTTGCAGGCGGGAAGAGGCACTAAAAAGCCTTGTTTTCCTGAGGGTCTGTGGATTTGGAGCTGAGCGAACACGCCTCTTTGTTTTCTGTTCGGTCTGCCAGCGATTGCAAAACGCAGCCTTCTTGGAAAAGGCTGACGCACAGGTGTAGAGATACGAGGCGAAGGTTGAGAGGAGCCGCTCTGCGAACGTTACCAAAGGTCGTGGCGATGCCTCCCCTTGTGTTTTGTCCCTTCTTCCCAGCCCTCGGGATCCGGACAAAGGTTGCTCCTCGGAGCGCGTTTGCCTCCATCTTGCCTTAACGTGCGATCTGCGTAACAAAACGCGGTGTTATCACTCCCTCTCCTCCTCCGGCCCTCCAGAAAGTATCGGTTTTTTCTTGTAATGTATTATTCTGCTGCAGTAAACCCGTCTGGTGATGCAGCACTGCAGATCTCCCCTCCTCTCCCCTTGATGCGGTCCTCCTCCCGGCAGCATCTGCCAAGACGGGAGCAGCTCGGAGAGACGCCAACGGGTGGGGCTGGGTCGGATCACCAGACAGATTAATCTTCACGGTGGGGGACCGAAGGATGTGTGTAATCACAGGACCACGTTGGGGCAAGGAAAATGCAAACCTTCCTCTCCCCGCAGCTGTCCTTGAATACTCAGGGCTCTCTCCTTCTTGGTGTTCTTTCATCCCCACTTATGCTCCCTTTCTCCTCCCCCCGTCTGCCTCCTTCGCTTTCAGCAAAGACGATTGTCACAGATTATCCTTGGGGCTCGTCAAGGGTACTGTGCAGGACACCAAAGCGCAGCGTATATTTGTATCTGGATAACGGATGGATTAAAATGCGCTGTCTCCGAGTGGGATGATTTAGGTCCATGGCTGCAGTAGAATACAGTAGTAGCCTCCCCCATCCATTTCTGATTTAGAAAAAAAATTTAAATAATTTTTTAATTAATGGCAACCAAGGTACACTTTTCCCAATATAAAAATTGAGCTCCGGCTGCAAGAGTTGTGCATTTGTTGGTACGTGGGGAGCATATTACATCGATGTTCTGTATCTTCTGTGCTTTCTGGGCAGCATTAGCTCCAATATTTGAACATTTTAACACATTTCTGGATCTTCTGCAGTGAAAGAAAAATAATTGAGGTCTGTGCGTATGTTATAATAACACGTACGTGTTACAATTTCAGAATGAGGAAATAAAAGAATTGTCAGGATGGTGAGTGGGAAGAGTCTTTCAGAGCCCATTTCTGATGTAACTGGCAGGCAGCACTTCATACGAAGTCGGCTGTGGGGACTGCAGTCAGAGGGTCAGTTAGGATTTCAGGTTTTTTGAGTAGTGCCAAGATACTATTTCCCCCCCCCAAAGACTGTAGACAAAGTATGGGCCTCGTGTTGCCAGAACCTGAATGTGTAAACAGTGAGCAAAAGGAAAGTACATGTTCTAACCGGTCATTTCTGTAACTACATTATTTAGAAGAAAAACTTAATAGATAGGAGAGTTAGAGCACTCTGTCCTATTATAACACCTTTCCTTTGCTGGCTGTAGAGAACTGGCACTGAAACGCACGTTAAATGGCGCTGCTAGCTAGGATACCTAATTATTTTTCATATTTTTCGTTAAGTTCATTCATGGCATGAACATTTTTTCAAATGGGCTCTTTCCTGTTTTCCTTCCCCCTTCTTCCTTTTCTGTGTCTCCTCTCTTTACATGTGCCACATCCACATGGCCATTTTTTTCCTCGCACAAATTTTATTAACCATATCTTCTACTTTCCTGATCTTTCCAAGTCTTGCCTTCAAGGTAAGATAACCATATCCAGCCTCGGGAGAGTGCAAACATCGAGAAGTATCTTTCCTGCAGTACCATTCGCCATTATTTGCTCCTTGCAGCTTTTAATTAGAATAGAAAATGACCAGTATATCAGTTGGTGTCACAGGTTAGGAACCTCCTGAGAATTAAACATCACCGTGCTGTACCCATGAGTACAAAGGCAGCAAGCTCTGCTCTGGGCACGCGTCCCAAAGGTGACCTTGCCTTTTTAGGCCCAACTTTTACTGACTTCGGAGATGCTCTTGTTTGCGAATGTATTCCGTAATGGACAGTGCGCCGTATTCAGTATAAACCACAGGAAAATGAGATCTAAATCCAAACCAGATTATATATATAAAGTGTAGTAGGTCAGGTTGGAATGAGAAGTCAGCAGTCAGCAACGCAGGTTTTCAAATCGTATTTAAGGATTAGTCATCCAACACCAATGACGGAATTCTAAGGTATATTGAAAGCCGTGCATGAAACAGTCAGATGCAGGTTCTGACAGCATTTGCTCCTCAGACAGGCAGTTGTATTAGCTTTTTCCTACATGTATAGCTGAAAACAGCTTTTCTTGTTTAAGATCCATTTACATCTGTTCAGCATTGTGCTGCCTTTGTGAATAGAAAATTTTTTGCAGTGAATCTTCAGAGTTTACAAATATTTCTTGATTAGTTTTTTATTTGTGTGTCCCATTCCCGTTTGTCAGTGCATTCAAAAATATGCTTTTTGTCTGTTTTTGTCATGGATTAACAATTGCAGTTAAAGCCTTTACCTGTTTCGCTAAATCTCCTGGCTGAGAGAAATGAGCAACCAAAACGCGACCTGCAGTTCTTGGCTGTTTTAAAACATTGCTGTGTTCGTACTTTTCATTTTATCCTTTCCGCTATGAGTTGATGCAAGTTATTTAAAACCATTTTTACATCATGTTTTCTTGTGTGCATAAACATGTTTGTTTTTACTTTTTTTACGTAGACATTTGCTCTTCCGTAAGTGCCTGTGTTGCAATTACTTAATTTAACATACATTAAGTAGGGTGGCGTCACATTCCCATCAGCTTTCCTCAGCGTGCCTGTTGTGCGGCCGGATCCACGGGGGGATGTAAAATTGAACCCCAGAAGCAGCCGGCCCGGGGGTGCCTGTGCCGGCCACGCTTCAAAAGCGTCCTGCGAGGATGTTGTCAATAAATGGGTTTGAGATCAGGAATGAGGATCAGAATGAAGACTCTTGTTCTAGCGCTGAATGGATTAAATATAGATCAGAGTAGTGGAATTGCTGTGTCAAGGTCATTTTTTTCTTAAGAAAATTGTCGGGATGTCTTTATTTTTACTTGTTGTGACACAGTTTTGTATTAATTATGTCTTGCTCGTCAGATTAAAAATGAGAAGGGCTGCTCTAATTGCGAATACCTTTCTATTTCTTCAGCTGCTGTTGCTGTTATTATAAAAAGGGCCATCTCATGGTAGGCTAACCAAAAGAGAGGAGGTTTGAAGACGATGATGGAAAGTTTAAATGGGCTTTTTTCCCTGTACAAATGGCTTTTTCCCTCTTTTTGAAAACGTGTCTTCCAACCTCTGCCGTGCTTTGAGATGGATTTTCCTGCCATATGGGAAGGGCGAACGATTTGAAACTGCTGTTGATTTTACAGGAGGCGATGTTATTAAATGCGGTCTTTTTCTACCAGCACTAATATACGTGCTCTGCTTTGCTTTTCTTCCAGATATGGACGTGTCGAAAGTGTCAAAATACTCCCTAAGAGGGGGTCGGAAGGCGGAGTGGCAGCGTTTGTGGATTTTGTGGACATCAAAAGTGCGCAGAAGGCACACAACTCTGTCAACAAAATGGGAGATAGAGACCTACGGACGGATTATAATGAACCAGGAACCATTCCCAGTGCTGCTCGGGGATTGGATGATACAGTTTCCATAGCATCTCGTAGTAGAGAGGTTTCTGGGTTCAGAGGAGGTGGTGGGGGGCCCACTTACGGCCCCCCACCATCGCTTCATGCACGGGAAGGACGTTATGAGCGGAGACTTGATGGGTAAGTTCCAAGGTTTCTCTAGGCAGGTATTTTGTATTTGATATGGTGAGAAACACAAACTCATATCTAGGGCCCCCAGATGGATTTAAAATTTTGGGAATTATCTATGTTTCCTATTTTGGGTTGGAAACGGAAGTGATTTCTATCCCAGTGGCTGGTACCTTGTGGATCCATAGAGGATGTTTTCTGCAGCTGGTTGGATATCTACACTTGAAATAAGGTGGTTTTAAGATGGAAGATTTCCTTTGGCCAGCATCGATATTGGAGTTACTCTTTTCTAGAAGTAATGATTCCATTTCTTGGATAATATTAAGGCCTTGCTCGGATGTATCCCTGCTGCCAGATGGAGCTATCTTACTCTACAACACGTGGTGAAGTTCTCTGTGGAGTATCTTCGGAATACTAGAACCTAAAATTCTGTGAAAGTTTGATGCCTAGTTCTCAGTTCTCATTATACGCAGTTGGTATGTTAATTGGATTGTCACCACAAAATTTCTAGTAGACTTTAATGATGCAGCCCCTTGGATTCTACAGACAACACTTAGCCATGGAAATAACGCTTGGATGGAGAAGACCGAAGGCAGCTTGTGATGTTTCCATTTTGGATCTACATCATTTCCAAGTTATTGGGATTATTGTTTCTGATGGTATTGGCAAAAAGAGATGATGGACATTACTAAATTTTGGAAATTATAGTGTTTTTTTTTAATGCTGGGATAAGAACTACTGCCTTGAATTTATTGGATGGTATACAGTCAAGACGCCAGTAGCCATGGGGAGTGGATTACTATCTAGTCTCTTAAAAAGCTCTTTGCTACTCCACATTAAACATACTTTAGTTTTAAGGACGTGGCACTAATACCAGTTTGTGGATACGCCAGTGAAAAATGACTGGGCTGGATGGTTACAAAGGCGGCTAGAGGATGCCTGCTGGCCAGCAGCGATGAGTGCCCTCGTGCATTGGGTGATCTTCTACCAGCTGCTTGACTCAGACATAGGGCTGGAAATTAAAATAATGGATCTATTTAAGTGCCTACTGTCTCAAGAAAGAAGTCTGGGGGTTTCAGAGTTACGGTTTCAGTCTGGGACTACTTCCTTCCAGTGGAATTTTTTTTTTTGTCTTGTCACTAAGATTTTTTTTTTTTTTTCTTGTTGGTTCATCTAAAATATCATTTGACACCCTTGCCCATTAAGAAGGTGGATTACCCCTGTAAGAGGGGCCAAAATTGGGGAAGTTATGTTCACAATTCTCTCCCTAGATTTAATTGGGAATATAGGTCGTGTTTCCACACTTGGAAAAGGTTGGTATGTCCTGCCCTGTGTATATTAGCCCCTCTCCTAACCCAAGTCAAACCCTCTCTTTCCACTAACTCCAGTAGTACTTAGTACTAATAGATAAATCAAAAAAGCACTGTAGCCATTAGATTTTCAGCTCTGCTAGCTCCTCTGTCTGTCTTCTGTGTCCTTTTCATGGATAAGGACTTTGTTCTTTTATGTCAGCTATATAGCAGTAACCCTCTAGAAAATACTGCTTTTTCTCTTACCTCATTAAATCAGCTTTCACTGATTAACACTTTGTAAGATGCTAAATGCAATCATTTATAAAATTGTTGATCTTGGTCCTTCAAAAGGGGGGGAAAAAAAGATACATGTTTCTGTGCCAGATCCTGAAATATCTTTCAAAATGCCATTGTTGCGAGCAAGAGATAATGAAAATAGAAAGGCAACAATGAATTTTAAGCAGATACATAAGTTAATGAAATTCTGTTGCACTGGTTAGGTAGTTTCTTATGTATAATTTGAGAGAAAAAATGCAGGCAAAACATGAGCTCTGTAGAAAGCTTGAAAATGAGTTATAATTTAACAACAGAGGATGAACATATTTAGAGGATTAAGGATCTAGTGATTCATTGGAGAAGGAATGGAAGGAACTTCCTGAGATGTTAATCAGAAAAGATTGAAATCCCTTTTTCAGTTTATAAAAGATACCTGAAATATTTCTGCCATTTTAAATAGAAGACAGACCCGTGATGCAGAAGAGGAGGAGGAAGCACAAGGCAGAATTGGGTTATTAGGATTCAGGGGATTGAAGTGACTAATAATTGATTCCGAAGGAAGAATCTGAGAGAGGAGGCTGAAAAAAAGAAAGGTTGAAATGTCCTTCGTAAGATGGATAATTACATTTTGAAATTAACTTTGACTACCCTGACATATTTAGAATTTTGCAAGCATTTTTTAAACATTCAACGTAATAATTTTTGATCTTTCATTTTGCGGATGTAACTTAGACATACCATCCTGGTATTTGTCTAAATTAGACTACTAAACTGTTTGTAATGTTCTTTTAACTTTATCTGTCAGTTTTACTATCTCTTTATTTGAGAGATCACACTAACTTTCTTAGAACATAGAGCTTTTCTCAATTGATATACAAAATGTTGGCAATACTGAAACAAAATGGACCTTAGCTACTTGAAAGTAGCGTGCTTGTGAAGATACAAATTCTGTGATTGCAGTAACAATAGCAGTCTCAACAGACAAAAACACCTACTGAAAAATTTAATTTATACTCCTTGCCTAGGGTCTTAGTATCTTTTTGGGGCCTGCACCCTTGCAGTTTAAGTATTCTGACATAAGTAATCATGATGTTTCTTGAGGGTATGCAGCTTTGATGAGAATTGAGTGTAGCAGTCTGATAAAAGCAAAATTCCCTCTAAGAGGATGAAATATTTTAGAACAGCAACAAGAAACCCCCTAATTTTCTGGGCCTTTTCTATGGGTTATGCTACCCCTTTTGAAGCAGCTTCTTACCTCTGGGTCATGCTTTGCACGGAGGCTTTCATGGCTACAGCCCGATTTGTGATGCCATTTTTGCAGAAGGATAATTAGAAGAGCTCCAGTAATTACCAAATTTCCGAAAAATTTTTGAAGCTCTTAAGCAAAAATGGAGGGAAAAAAAAAAAATTGATTATGATGTCCACAAACATGAAGTTTTTCTTGTTTACGGAATGTAAAAGAAAAAGAAAAAAACCAAACACAAGTTAAATGAGGATTCTGCACTGGAAAGCAGTATTTTTTTTCCTGTGCAGGCAAGATGCTGGTCATGAAAGCCCGATACTGTGATTAAAACAAAATGATTGCTCATCTTTATCGTATACGAATATAACTTTGGAGTCAAGTAAAATGTTTATAAGTTTGTCAGTGTTTGCTTGATAGGTTATTGCTGTTTAGTGGAGAAGCAGTCGCAAAAATAAGTTCAGTGCTGACGTGAATGTTTGCATGATTTGCTTTTAGTTGTGCTTGCCCCTTTCTGATGAAATATTTTTCCCCCTTCCTAAATGCAGGGCTTCAGATAACAGGGAGCGTGCTTATGAACATAGTGCCTATGGACACCATGAGCGGGGGACGGGAGGATTTGATCGGACGAGACATTACGATCAGGATTACTATAGAGATCCTCGAGAGCGGACTTTACAACACGGGCTCTATTATACTTCTCGGAGTCGAAGTCCAAACCGTTTTGATGCTCACGACCCCCGTTACGAACCTAGGGCCCGGGAGCAGTTTACATTGCCCAGTGTGGTACACAGGGATATCTACAGGGATGATATTACACGGGAGGTACGAGGCAGAAGGCCAGAGAGGAATTACCAGCACAGCAGGAGTCGGTCGCCGCATTCGTCCCAGTCCAGGACCCAGTCCCCGCAGAGGCTGGCCAGCCAGGCGTCCAGACCCACCCGCTCCCCCAGCGGCAGCGGATCCAGGAGCAGATCTTCCAGCAGCGACTCCATCAGCAGCAGCAGCAGTACCAGCAGCGACAGGTAAGGTCACTGCGGGTTGTTGCCCAAACCAGAGCGACCGTCCCGTGGGCTTTGCGGGTCGTTTTCTGAGGCACGGCGAGGAGTTGCGAGCCCAGGCTGTGAAAATACAAGGTGTTTCGTGGCAAAGCATTATTCATTGATGTAGAAGTAAACTGGCGTGAAATGTAAAAAGACCAAGTTGGCATGAAACAGATCCAAGGGGAATGCTGTTGCCGTCCTTAATTATTTTCCGTGGTGGATCTGCGCAGCGTCTGCAAGGTGCTAGCTAGGCAAAGCGTGGATGTACGAACACGAGGCCTTGCTGCACCCCTGGCTGCTGCCTGCCTGGGTGGAGAATGGGGTAAATATTTTATTTGCTTAAGTGAGGAAATAAGCAAATTTTAAGGTCAACTACTTTTTACAGGACACATTTTAAAATACTTTGGGAAATGATGAGTACTATTGTCCAGTTTCTTCTCATTCCCTGTCACCCCTAACATTTAAAAGGTTGATATATTGCCTTTCCATTTTTTCCCTGTTGCCCTGCAGCAAAAATTGCAGACTTGGAAGATTTAAAACTAAAAATAAATCCAAGTATGCGTTTCCTAGTGGTATGCCCATGTCCTCGGTTCTGTAATAGCTGCAGTAGCTCTGTATTTGTGTGGCTTTATAAATTACATACAGGGGAAAAAAAAAAAAGAGTACTAGAGCTAATCACTGGATTTTTTCTAATAATTTGAAAATGTTGAAATGTCTCTCAGGTATTTAGCTTTTTAAGAGTAAATTCAGCCTAAGAGTGGAAACCAAGAAGCTACTGTTGTACCTGTAAATGTTTTGTGCTCTGTTTGGTGAAGAGCTCTGCTCTTCAGAAGGGTTTTCAGAGTTGGGAAGGTTTCCTTTGCATACCAGTTCTTCTCCAAAACTGCAAATAGTCATTAAGTAAATAAGTACATTGGTATAATAAATACTTAGTGTTCGATTATCACTATGAATGGAATTTTACCACTGGTAGCTCTCTAGTCAAGGTAATTATTCTCATAAACTCTCACCTGCTTGAACGTTGGACCTTCTGGAAGGGTTGGATGGGCAGACACTGGGGAGAGCGTGCAGAAGTGAAGATGAGGAAGTCAGTTTCTCCTCTTCTGATTTCCCCACCCCCCCGACATCTAAAGAACCGTGCAAAGATTTATTTACTACTTTTAATTACTGTTTTCTCCTCCTGGATTTAGAAGTCCAGGTCCTGTCTTGGCTGGAGAGCAGGTGGAGAGAGGGGCACCTCTAGAATATTTAAGATGACTTTTAGGCTGCTTTAAAGGCTTGTTTGTTTATTTCTAACACCTCTCTCTCAATGCGATCTTAACACTTAGATAAAGACAACCCTTTGTCAAAGATTTTCACAGTTACTACAGCTGAAAAAAATTGGTGAGACTTCCAGAAGAATAAAAAAAAAAAGCTAGAGAAGATGAATTGAAAGAAGGCCTGGTTACATTTAAGTTTAAAAAAAAATCCCATGCCGGAAAAAAAATCTCTCTTCTGGTGCTCGTTTGCTCGTTGCAGAATGGATAGGAGGGAGTCCAAGAAACTCGTAATATTTATAAAATGTCATTGTTGGGATGTCAAGATGGGATGAAATACTGTTCTGCATTTGAGAGGACTAAGTATGATCCCACTGGAACAAAGTTCTATGATTTAATCAGAAGATAAGCAGCATCTGCTGTGGTTTAGCATTTCATTTTCTTGGCAATTTCTAGTTGTAATAATGGAAAACTAGATGATACTCTGGGAGGAAAGGGAAATAAACTTTTTTTTTTCTTACTAAACAGTAAATTCAAATTCAATAGAGCAAGTAATAGAACCTGGTGGATAATACATTGCATTTTGAAGGATCAGAAAGGAGTTTTACATGTTTCTAAGCAATGAGTTAGATATTAATAAACATTTAACCATATCTTTACTTTGTAAAGCAAAACCCCACCTGGCCTTGAAGTCTTTTAAAGCACAAGTGGATTTTTCTGTTTAATTTTTAAAAGACTTTGAATTTAGCAATGTAAATACGTAATACCCTCATACCCTGTGGTGAGCAAAAGCTACCTCGCCCCCTTTTTACTGGTACGGTGCTCCCTCTCGCTGTGCAGTATATTCAGGTTTCACGTACCCAGACCAGGCAGAAATTTGTTTGCATCTCCATACCCTGGGTAGTAAATTATGGCTGTGTCATCCCCGGATTGATTTACCAAACTCCGTATCTATTTTTAATTTCTAGAGTGGGATTTATCTGGAATAACTAAGGATGGTTTGCTATTGTCTGAAGAAGAGTTAGTTTTTGCAGTTTCCATAGTGTTTCTCAGGGATTTTAGCAAACTGGAGATCCTTTTCTGGCTTTATTATAAGTGAAAATGGCCGATTTTGTGACGCTGTGAAATCATGAAGGTCTTTATGACACTGAATTCTTCCGAAATTGTATGACTTGAAGAACTTTGTCACTCAAGTCTGGTCGTGTCTGTCTCTCAGCTGGCAGGGTGGAAAAGGCAAAACAAGTGGTGTTTACTTAGAGAGGTGGGTCACTCACCCACGCTCCTGTGAACGTTTGGGGATGAACGCTGGAGCCTGTGGAAACTCGTGGGTGTTAAACACTTGTGGGAATTTTTGTGCGTGGCTCCGTCCTTCAGGTGCTGTGAAAAATGAGCAGAAAGGTGGCGAAGTAGTTCGGGCTTCGTTCCTCGTGGTTTTCAAAGAGCTGTGTGAAGTAAATACGACTTTCATTGGAGATGATTTTCCTGGCCAGTAACGTGAGGAAAGATGCTCAGCAGATTGTTTTTTAAAAAAAAAAAACAAACCAAAACACGAAAAAAGCCTTTATTTCATAAAGGTTCAGAGTTTGTTGTATTGGATCTCAGCTAAGCTTCGCTTTAAGTGTATATTCGGAGGCCTTTACAGGGGATTTGTAATGGGAGCTGCAAAGGAGTAATGTAGAAGATAAGACCAAAAAGAACACGGTAAAAATAAACCACATTCTCTGAAGCAGGGCTTTATTTGGTGTATCTTGTGGCCTCTCAGAAGTCGCCCACCGGGCTGAAGCCGGTGGATGTGACTGTTTTCTGCGGGAGCTGCTTTCCCAGACGGCGTCACCTGCGCAGACTTGAGGAAGAGTTTGCGTTTTGAAATTGTCTTAACGTCAGGTTGCTCATTCCCCACACGTGTTACGGAAAAGGATCCTTGGGTTTTGTTTTTAATCACCTTGAAAGAGTAAGAAACCTTGAGAGTCATATTTTAATTTTCTGCTGCCAGAAGCCTTAATTTCTCCATTTTGTTGATCTGAACGCGCACACAAATGATACAGTGGCAAATGTATTTCCTGTACTGTGTCATGGAAGAAGCTGAATATGCATGGCAGCTGTGTGATCCCATAGAAAGCAAACCAGATTTTGTTTGTGCCCTGCCCAACCTCCTGAAAAAAATCCCCCCCTTTTTTTTTGTAGAAGATGATGTTTTCTAGGCTGCTTGTCGAGGTGTTCTAATGCGCTTAAAAAAATTTCTGTGCATTTTTATTCAGTTTTGTAATGTCAAATGGCTTTACGTTTCTTACTGTTCCATGTGGTAGTGATTATTTTTAAAGCTTTGCTGCAGTGACGTATTGAACCACATGGCACCGAGCAGTGGGACGTTTTGCTCTTAAAAGCTGGACATGTGGCAAGTACCTTGTTGAGACGGGATTTAAACTTATTTACAAAATCCTGGCAGAAGTGTTTGATTTCCTGTAGGTGATGTCCAGAATGTGAAAGTGTGAACACCACATGTATATGTGTGTGAAAATTTACAGATAAGTGACCTGAGCTTTCCTTTTTAATGTATTTTTTAAGAGTGCTTATTCAGTTGTCTGATGTCAAGGATGCTGGAGGGTTTACTAGTTAGATGAATAATTTCCTATAGCTTGGAATGTAAAATAGATCTTGCTCTGGAATTAAAAAAGCAACTTCAGTTTAGACGCAGAGTGACTTTCTTTTCACCAGGATTTAGGAGAGCATAGTCACTCCTGTAGTGTGGAATTAAAGCGATGGTAAGAAGTTGCACATACAGAAGTCTGAAAATGGATTTTTTTCGATAATTGTGATAGCTATACTTAAAGTTCTAATGACAAGAGGGCAAGGCTTTCATAAAGTAATTAGAGATTTTTTTTTAATTTTAGATTTCTCTGTGATGAAATTCTTTCTGGAGCAGTGAGTTACAGTTGGAAAGGAATACATATGTGTTATTTTATGTGTCTTAATATTGAAATAAACTGATGAAAAATACTGCCAAGAGAATTTTAATCATGGGAAAAACAGGCTCCCTGAAACCTCCCATGGAGGCTGCAGTGTATTTTGTTTTGTTGGGGACTTTCTTAGCCTGTTTAAACAACTGAAGTGAAAGTAGAAAAAAGTGAATTTAGTTCCATTACATAATGCAAACCTTTCCCTGCCATTGTCTTCATCTCCTCTTTTCCGCTTAGTTTGTCTGCCAGCAAGTGATGAATCACTGACTTAGAATGGGATTTAGGGTTTTTGAGTGGGTTGAGAGATGCCTCTGCTGGGGACAGCTGAAAAATCAGGAAGAATGAGGTTAAATGTAGCTGTTCAGTCTTTATTTAAGAATCTGTGAGATGGCCTTTGCTGATGTTAAATAATTCCACATAAATTTTGCACTGTAGAGATCACCTGAATATTTTTAATCTCCTCTGGTAGGACGACAGGATTGAGCATGCTCCTATTTGTATGGGAAAAAGAATTAGGCTAAGATTTTAAACAAAAAAAAAAAAAAAAGAAAAGAAAAAGAAAAAAAATTGCAGAGTAGGAACCCTCCTTTTCAATTAACCACAAAGGCAACAGTAAATCCTCTAAGAGTCAGGTGAAACACCTGATCTTTACCTTTTGTTCACATAAAGCCATGTGCTGCTTTGATGTTCTCTCTCTACAGGGAAATGTGAATTAGGGAAAGTAAAATTAAAAAATCTAACTCTCATATTCTCAGGTTTTTGTTACCGATTGT